AATCGGATCATGAAAAAAATGCATGTACATATGTCCCATATAATGTGTGATGTATGAGTGAAGTTTGAACTTAACCGGTCAATGCATATTCAAAATACAGGTCATCACGGACGTACGGATGCACGGATAAAACACAAGTCCCCGTTTTCGGACTACGTCCGAACGGGGACTAAAAAAGGGATTGTATATCACATTGATATTTGCTAATTAAAATCCAGTAAATAAGCAAGGTTAACAATAGACGCATTTTTTTCAAGGAAAATTGCAACAGTTAGGAGTGGTGACATTTCACAAAAATTCTTTAGTTGATGAACTTCATGGAATTTTAACAATTGTCTCGCAAACAACTTAACAGTTTATTGCATTATTATGCAAATCTGCAACATAGAACAAATTGCAAATACTCTACCCTAGACTGATTCTAATGTCAAGGTAAGACACATATGTCTAGCTAGAAGAGATGGCTAAAATATTGCAGTAGACATAACACAAAATGATGGAATATTGAGTTGCCAAAGAGGGCGCTTTTCAACACACTCGCTGAACATAAATCGCTGAAGGTAATAAGTGAGTTTCTAAACATACTTCTAAAGGAATGTCACATTTTGTAAAATGTGTATGAGCGACAATGTTATTTCTTGACTGTAAAATCAAAATAACATACTCACTTTGTTTTTGACAATGGCTTTGTAGTAGCAACAACAGATAAATTCTCAGGCTGGTCTCTGTAAAAACAATTATCATGTAATTTTATTATAATTTCCTGTTGAATGTTCGGAAATGTCTGATTGACGGAATTCCAATTCCAACAACATTCCCCAAACATGTCTAGATCTATTTGATTCAAAGTTATGTACAGAAACAAGTTATAATGAGAGATATATACTCATCACTTGTTTTTTTGTTTTGTTGATTTTTGACAAACCGGTGGACATTTTTGTACCAAAAGACAAAATGTTAACATTTCATTAACCATTTCTCAGGCATGCCCAACCCAATTAAATAAAATTTAGTATGGACATGACTTGATGGGTTACGGAGAAGTATATAAATTTTCACTGTTCCATGATGTTTTTTATTTTTCTTGGCTGTTCTTTACCAAGATTGCTCAACATTATAAGGAAAACTAGATACAATGGTCTACATATGCACCTTATTTTTTGTTTTTCGACTTATTGGTAGCAAGATTTGTATCAAGATTTTCTGTGGCAAGCAATACACAAGTTTTGATTTGAACACGATGTGTGCTAAATACAGATTTTGAACTACTTGGAATATTTGTGGATGCATTCCAATCATCAAAGCAATTACCTAGTTAAACTTCAGTTTCGTTTTTATACTGAAGAAAACTCAAAGTCACCATCTTTGTTCATATGTGAACTGTATCTTGCACATAAATTATGACGTGAAACCCACATTTAAAAAAAAACGACTTATTTCATTCCATGTAATGAATGACATTATGTTCTCTCCTGATTTATTATGTGCATATTGCATGTTCAAGTACTAATGGCACAAATAGTATTTTCCCACAGCAACCATATTCCATATTTGAGACTATGAAATCTTCATGACATATCACCATGGATACAATTTCCATATCTTATAAATCCATGATTTATGAATACAAGTAAAAAATCCTGTCAAATTGTCCAACTTTTATATTGTATTTATTTTATTTTCAATTACGTTAATCAGTTTTTTGTTTCACACAATTCTGTTCAATACATTCCAAACACCTGAATTGAAATGTATTATTTTTCTATACGATGGTATTAAATAATTGTACTTAGAGAGTTCAACTAGAATTCAAATTTCAAAACAGATGTCACATATTCATCTTATTTGAGGACAAGAGTATAAATAATACTCTTTATTCTCATAGATAATATATTTACTCAGTTAGAGGTGCGCAAATTCAAACAAACAATGTATATTTAAGCAGTTATGCTTATTAAATCCAATTTTAGAGATATAACAACCAAACTATGCCATTTAATTAGACAAGGTATTATGTATAATACATACACTTTTAACAAATACAGTGTGTTTTACTATGAAAGTACATTACAGTTACTAAAAATTCATTAGTAACCGAGTGTACATGTACTTTCCTAATAATACCACATATTAGGCCAAAATGCATATTAAATTGAAATTTAATTTGCAAAGACACATAAAATTTTTTTTTTTTTTATTTGGAAAGATGTTGTTTTCTCTATTAACTCTGAGGTAAATTAAATCACTTTCTCAAAAACAGTGATCTCTTATTTCGTTTTTTGCTGAGATTGATTACCGGTAATACTCTATTCTTTTCTTGTAGACTCACAATAAGAAAGTTGTCAATGCTTTGTCACGAGAGACGAGCATTTAAATTATTTTCTTTCAATGCACATTCTACATTTTCTCCATCTACTAGGTGAATCATATGTTATTACAGTACCATAAGCCACAAAAATAATCCAAACTTTACGATTATAACAGAACAACCAAATTTTAGACATTTTTTAAAAATAACCTGCTTCAAAATATATAGTCATGAATTACCTTGGAAATGTTCTCCACATCGTAAGATACGTGCATTGGTAGTTATATGCAGACTAATCAAGCAAGAGACAAGAATAGTCTTTCACGGAGACTCACAGCGTGTCAGAAGCCCAATCTCACACATATTAAATAGA